CCCGGGCCTTAGGTTGCCTACCCCTGTTTTAATGTATCCCAAGGTGCTTGCATTGCCAGTAGGGAAAGGGGGGCTGGAAGAGAAAGGGTTTTAAAGAGTATATCATCCTGGGGAAACTCAGATTGGACTCTAACTTGTCTGTAGTAACCTCTGTATTGAAGTCCAAAATAAACTGTCAGTTAACCTCACTGCAATGTTTTCTTGGCTTTTCAAATCTTGGTCAGCTAAACCTGACACTTAGTGACCACAAGCCAATATGTATCAACAGTGTGATTAAGTGGCAAAAATAAAGATAGTTCAATACTAGGCTGCATTATCAGAAGTACAGTGTCCAGACCAAGGGAAAGAACTGTACAATTCAATTCTATTTTTTTCGTACCTCACCTGGACTACTCTGTCCAGGTCTGGATGCCACAGTTTAAAAGGACTGTAGACAAGATGAAGTTTGTCCAGTGGCAGGCAAAATGGTATGGGCCTGGGAAACTAAGCCATATGACAAGCAGTTGAAGGAGCTGGATATATTTAGCATGAAGAAGAGAGCAATGACATGTTATCCATTTTCAAACGTCTGAAGGGCTGTCGTATGGAAGATGGATGAAGCAAATTGCTCCAGAGGGTAAGAACCTGAACCAAAGGATTCAAATTACCAGAAGGGAGACTGATTAAACATAAGAAAGAACATCCTGATAGAACTGTTCAAAAGTAGAATGGACTAGCTAAAAAAGCAGAGGCTTCATCTTCATTAGAGATTTTAAAGGAGAGGTTGGATGGACATCTGTCTAGGATGCTTTAGCTGTAGGTTCTAGCACAGATAGTTGGACAACATGATTCTTGCAGTCCTTTCCAACTCTACCATTCTATGAATGTATGATACACCCTGGACTCTACCTTTGAAGTATTTTGTTACTAGGTGGTTTTCTTTCTTTCTATCTTTTTTTAAAAATCATGTTTGTGGGGGGGGGGGTCACATTCACTGGGGTTAGGGGCACAGGACCCCAATGAAAGTGAAAAAAACTTAAATAAAAAATGCCACAATTTTTTAAATCTGAAAAACACATCTCTAGGAATTCCTAGGTTCTTCAGCACAACATCTGCTAGAAGCTGACCACAGAATCACACTGGAGGATCTACAAATGCCTAGAGAAGTGTTTTCTCTAGGAACCTCTAAGTCTCCCAGAATGATTCTATGGTCAGCTTCTGGCAGAGTTGTGCTGGAGAACCTAGAGAGAACATATTGATCAAATCTGCAAAAGTCAAACCCACAAATGTGGAAGACAAACTGTATGTATGCATGTATGCACACATGTGTGCATTCATGCATGCAATGTATAAAGTGGCTCTTGGGCTGCATCTGCACTGCAGAAATAATCCAGTTTGACACCCCTTTAAGTGCCATGGCTCAATGCTATGGAATTCTGGGAACTGTACTTTTCTGAGACATTTAACTTTCTCTGTCAGAGAGCTCAGCATTCCATAGTATTGAGCCATGGCAGTTAAAGTGATGTCAAATGGGATTATTTCTGCAGTGTGGATGCAGCCTTAATGGTTGCATTTATTTGTAATTTGCAGTTTAAACTAGGGTTTACTAGAATAGATCTGATCCCTATTTGACTGCTAGGACTCTCCTCACCCTGCCCCCTTTTTTCCTGGAGTACTGCCTCACCACAGGATAATCCCATTTATTACTACATTTCTGAAAGCTGTTATGGGAGAAGCTAAGGTCAGTGTACAATTGCGTGCGGACAGCAGTTCAGCTCAACCAAATGCCAAAATGTTGCATTTTTTGGCACTGATTACTATACACAGGCTTCTTCCTTGCTTCCTTGCTTTTTTTTCTTTCCTCTGCTGCCTGCCTGACTACTTGCCCATGAATTGCATGACCCCAGTCCCATATAAATCAAAGTCTTAAGGCCAAGCTTGGCAACAATTCTTTAAATATATGACTACATTTGCATATTGTTTCTTTTTTAAAGTAGCAGTCACAGAGCCCCTCAGTTTAAGAAGGTTATCACATTAGGATGTAAAGCGTCTTACCTGAGCAGTCTTAAAATTAGAAGTAGGTGGCATCCTGATATTATCAGACACATTTAGCTGCCAAAATCGCTGCCCAAGTGCAGCCCGGCTCCATCGCTGCTCAAAGGAGAGCTCCTCGCATCTCTTTTTGAAGCCGGGAGTTTTCCAGCTTGAAAAAATGGCTGCTGGACTGCCCCTCTGAGCGGCGACAGAGCCGGGCTGCACCTGGGTGGCAATTTCAGCCGCTAAATGCATCTGATAATATTAGTATGCCGCCCACTTCTAGTTTTAAGCTGGCTCAGGTAAGACACTTTATATCCTAATGCGATAATCTCCTAAGTCTGTACCATAATGGAGGAGAAGGGAAATCTAACTCCATGTTGTTTGTGCAATGAAAGT